GAGGCAGAGGAGGCAGATGAGGAGGAGGAGGAGGAGGAGGAGGGGGAGGAGGAGGATGAGGATGAGGAGGAGGAGGAGGGTGAGGAGAAGGAGGATGGAAGTGGTGGTGCAGAAGAATTCGCAGAGTTATTCGTCGGCAGAGAGGACGAGGATGACGCGGGAGGGGGGATGAAGTTTGGTGCAGTTCGAGAGGTACAGTTGATCCGAAGATGTCCAACAAGGCCGATTCGAGCCTTGAATGTCCGCTTACATCGAGGACACGTTGGAAGCAGTTGTGCGGCAGCGTTGCTGACTGGGCGCAGTTGTGATTTGCGGGCTTCGCGTTTCGCTTTGGCGGCGGCGATGCGGTTGGCTTCGTGGATAGCAGCGCCCCTCTTCACTGTTCTCCTCCATGCCGGACGATCGCAGGCGAGCTCTTCCCAACTGGTCGGGTTGATTTGCAGTAGCTTCAGGGAGGACTTCAGGGTATCCTTGTAACGGCGAATTGGGCCTCCTTGGCGACGAGGACCCGTCGCGACGTCTCTGTAGAAGAGTCGTTTGGGTAGCCGCTCGTCGTCCATGCGCACCAGGTGGCCGCTCCAGCGCAGCCGCATTTGTCTCAACATGGAGTAGATGCTGAGCATTCCCGTTCGTTCCAGCACATCAGTGTCGGGGATGCGATCCTGCCAGTTCAGCCGCAGGATGCGACGAAGACAACTGAGGTGGAAGTGGTTCAGACGGCGTGCCTGCCTCGTGTACACCGTCCAGGTCTCTGCTCCGTACAGTAGCGTCGGCAGGATAACGGCCTTGTACATCTTCAGCTTCGTGTTCTTTTGAAGACCGTGACGATTCCAAACTGTGCTTCGGAGACGACCGAAGGCTTGACTGGCTTTCGAGATCCTGTTGGCGACTTCGTCATCGATCTTGGTGGTGCGGGAGAGAGTACTGCCCAGGTACGGGAAGTTCTCCACCACTTGCAGTAGGGTCCCATTCACGCTGATTTGCGGCGACGCGTTGGGGGCTGTGGCTGAGTTGGGTGGCGGTTGGTGCATTACCACCGTCTTCTGCGTGTTAATGACCAGACCGAAGTTCTCGCAAGCGGCGGAGAACAGGTCCATGCTCCGTTGCATCTCCTCTTCTGAGGTAGTGTTCAGGGCGCAGTCGTCGGCGAAGAGGAGTTCGTGAACGGTTGTTGTGGATACGCGTGATTGGAAGTGCATCCGCCGTTGATTCAGCAGGTGACCGTCCGTCCTGTAGGCGATGCGAATCCCGGGACGTTCGTCGCGGTAGGCGTCCATCAGCATGGCAGAGAACATAAGACTGAAGAGGGTTGGTGCCAGCACGCATCCCTGTTTCACTCCGTTAGTTACTGCGAATGCCTCTGAGACAGCTCCGTTTTCCGTGACTCGCGCCATCATACCGTCGTGCGGCTGACGCACCATCTGAGTGGATCGCTCTGGACAGCAGAATTTCTGCATGATCTTTCACAGTCCTTCACGATTCACCGTGTCGAAGGCTTTCGTCAGGTCTACGAAGGTCGAGTACAGGTGGGTCCGCATCTCCTGACACTTCTCCTGAAGTTGGCGGGTTGCGAAGATCATATCCGTGGTCCCACGATGACGACGGAAGCCGCACTGGCTTTCCGGCAGAAGGCCCTGTTCCAGGTGGTTATTGAGGCGGTTGAGAAGGATGCGAGCGAAGATCTTCCCGGTGATATTCAGCAAGGAGATGCCACGGTGATTGTCGCAGACCTGGCGATTTCCTTTTCACTTGTACAGATGCAAGATGGTTGCGTCGTTGTAATCTTGCGGGAATTCACCTTGACGCCACATCCCCTGGAAGAGCGCAGTCAGGTGAACCATCAGTTGGGGACATTCGTGCTTGTAGACCTCAGCAGGGATTGCGTCCGATCCGGGTGCTTTCCCGCTGGAGAGCTGCTGCACGGCCCTGATGGATTCCTGGAGAGATGGCGGGAGGTCTACGTCCGCGTTGGTCTCGACTTGCGGCAAACGCGCGATGGCGGCGTCGGAGATGGCGGAAGGGCGGTTTAGGACGCCTCGGAAATGCTCGGCCCGTCGCTGAAGGATTTGCGTTTTCTCAGTCAGGAGAGTACTGCCGTCGGCGCTGAGGAGAGGAGCAGTGCCCTTTGTCGACGGACCGTAGACAGCTTTGATCGCAGAGAAGAAGTTCTTCCATTCGTTGCGGTCCGCGTAGCCTTGGATCTCCTCAGCTTTGCGAGCAGTCCAGGCGTCCTGCATCTCGCGCAGTCGCTGCTGGAGGTGGCGGCGACTGCGGTAGAAAGCAGCTTTGTTGTCGTCAGTGGGGTGATCGACGTAGGCTTTGTGTAGGCGGTTTTTCTCAGCAAGCAGATTTCTGATGGCGGCGTCGTTGTCGTCGAACCAGTCGTGGTCTTGGAGGCGAGCGTGACCGAGAACGGCTAGCGTTGTCGACTGGACCGTGTCTCGCAGTTGACACCAGCGGTTCTCCACGGAGGCGTTCTCGGCAGCGGCGGCGACGTCGTCTACGGCAGCGATAGGAAGTTTGTCTAGCCGTTGAGCTAGCTCATTGCTGAAATGAAGGTGTTGAGCGGGCAAGGACAACAAGGCAACATTCAGCTTACTTGGGGGTCGCTTAGCTTGCGGTCTCTTGCGAGGCTGTAAGCGAATACGCATCTTCGAGATGACGAGGCGATGGTCGGTCCACCCGTCAGCACCCGCGATCGCCTTCGTCACCAGCACGTCCCGCTGGTCACGACTTCGGACGAGGACATAGTCCAGCAGGTGCCACCGACGCGACCGAGGATGCCTCCAGGTGGCCTTCTCTCGCTCCGGCAGACAGAAGAACGTGTTTTTTAGGATAAGAGGGTGTTCTGCGCAGGTGCGGAGCAGCAGCAGTCCGTTGTCATTTGAGCCGCGGAGACCGTGGGGATCCAGCACTCCTCTACAGGCAGTGTGGTCTGTGCCGACGCGGGCGTTAAATTCGCCAAGGACAACCAACTTGTCCGCCATCGGCACAGTCGCCAAGAGGGCGTGCAGGTCCTCGTAGAATTTGTCTCTGACGGCGTCGGGGTTGGTCATGGTCGGAGCGTAGGCGCTGATGATGGTGGCGAATTGGCTCCCCCGCCGGAGAGGCAGGCGGAGGCTCATCAGGCGACCGTTGATGCACTGCGGCAAACAGGGGAGTCGTCCCACGATGTCGTTCCGGATGGCGAAGGCGACACCCGCGTCCCGTCGCTCTGCCCTGGGTCGACCGCTCCAGAAGAAGGTGTAGCCGACACCCACCTCCTCCAGTTGGCCTTGTTCGGAGAATCGGGTCTCGCTGAGTGCGGCGATGTCCACCTTGTAGCGCGCCAGTTCTCGTGCCACTAACGCTGTCCTCCTTTCCGGTCGGTTGCTTCGCGGATTGTCTAAAAGGGAACGAACATTCCAGGCTGCCAGAGTGAGCGGACTCACTCTGCCAGTCTGGTGACGACAAGTGGGGCGACGAGAGGGAGATGGAGAAGAAGGTGACGAAGGAGAAGAATTGGCAGAAGAATAGGCAGAGGAAGAGGAAGAGGGGGTATGATGTGAGAAGGAGTATGGTTGTTGTTGTTGTTATTGGTATTGTTGTTGTTTCGATTTTGATTGTTTCGACCATGTTTAGACGTCTGCGGCCCTGGCTAGCCTGGAGACGGCGTGGTACCCAGCAATGTTTAGGCCACCTTTTCTAGGCCCTTCCCCTCATGGGGGCAGGCAGTGCCGCCCCTGAATCGGGCTGCCCATGTGCCTGGTTGGCGCGACCGATCCCACTATGGGGCCACGACTTTTATGTTCGTAGTGGAGAACCACCGCATATGCCGTGAGTCCGCGTTCTCCGTCGGCGAGGGTGGGCGCGTCTCAGCGAAGGCGATGCGGAGACCCGTCCCGGCAGCAGTTATTCAACGGCGTACCAGGCAGAGCCTCGTCTCGACGATGCCGGCTCAGTGTTTCATCCGACCATCCATCCAGCGGAGTCCGCAGTAGACTGTGCACGCGGCACAAGCGCACAGCGCCCTCACCCGGTTTAGCCCGCCGGTCGAGACGGTTGCCCGGGGTGTGGCCGCTGAGCACAGCCCGGCTACGTGGAGCCAAAGGTGAGAGTTGGGTGCCAGCAAATGGACGCTAGGCGTAGTCTCACCTGCAAGCAAGTGAGCGACCACTACGACCATCACGTTAACCCACCGCTGACACCTACTACACCCCAAACCTAACAATAACCCTACCACTAAACTTAACCCTAACCCTAACCCCAACAATAACCCCAAGCCTAACCCTAACCCTAAACCTAAACTAAACCCTAACCCTAAACCTAAACCCAAACCAAAACTAAACCCTTAGCCTAAACTTAAACCTAAACCTATCCTTAACCCTAACCCTAACCCTAACCCTAAACCTGACCCCAAACTTAAACATAAGCCTAACCTAGACCCTAGCCATAACCTTAATCTTAACCCTATCACTAAACTTAACCCTAACCCTAACCCTAATCTAAACCCTAACCCTAAACCTAACAATAACCCTAACCCTAAACTTAACCCTAACCCCAACAATAATCCTAAGCCTAACCCTAAGCATAACCCTAAACCTAAACTAAACCCTTACACTAAACTTAAACCCAAACCTAAACTAAAATTTTGAACCTTAACTTAAACCTAAACCTAACCCCAAACTTAAACATAAGCCTAACCTAAACCCCAGCCAAAACTTTAATCTTAATCCTAACCCTAAACTTAACCCTTAACTAAAGCCTAACCCTATCCCTAAGAATAACCCTAATCCCAAACTTAACCCTAGCCCTAAGCTTAACCCTAAACCCTTACCTTAAAACCAAACGTAAACTTAACACTAACCCTAAACTTAAACCGAAACCTAACCTTAACCCTATCCCTAGGCTTAACCCTAACCCTAACCTTAACCCTAACCCCAACCTTAAACTTAACTACAAACCCAACCTTATCCCTAGCCCTAACCTTAAGCCTAATCCTAACGTTAACCCTAAGCCTAACCCTAAAACTTAACCGTAACCCTGACGGGAACCTAAACCCTAACCCCAACACTGAAACCTGAACCTAAAACGCAAACCCTAATCATAAAACTTTACCTACGTCTAACCCTAACCCTCACTAAACACAACAGCCTGACCGAGACGGGTGACCTGCCTAAGTCAGTAAGCGCACACCCACTGACAACAAGTTTCCTAGACAAGGTAAGCACACCTAATGATAACAAGTACGTACGTCGACAGTATCAACGTATAACGTCTGGCTACTAACTGCGGTCTTACCAAGAGGTGGTCAGAACGAGTCTGGCTCGTAATCTTTGAATCAGCATGCAGCAGCACGCTGTTGAAATCGTCTCGCTACTGGTTGTTGTCAGAGTGTTTCATTAGAGCCTGCCTGATTTAAGTCTGCTAGAAGTTGCTCGACTCTTTTAGTTGGTTCTTTTTGATGCGCATTTGATTTCCATAAACATACACAGTCCTTTAGTGAGAGAGCTTTCAAGGTTTAAATACACCTCGTCCTGGCCAATCGTGTTTCCTTTTTCCGCCCTTTTGACGACTGGGACAGCAGGCGAGCACTCGTGAGGTTCGCGTTACTACAGAGCACCAGGTAGAGTCATAAGAATTTGGCAGATTTTTCAGCCGCAGCAGCAGCATAACACAATTTGAAGCTGATGAAGGCGCATACTGCTGAGAAAGCCAGATCGCCTGCGAGTCAGGCGGATGTAAATGATGTTCACAAGCCGTCGATCGAATTTCCGACAGAATCACTGAATTCCTACATGACCGGGAGCCCTATATCGCCTTTGATTCCTGGTAAAAACGATACGAGGACCTGTTATTAGTTGACCTGGCTGTCCAGAACGACGCATGGAAGGTTCGGCTCTCACTCCGCAAATTGCGCCCTGTCCAACACTATGTCAACTTTATCTTCTCCAAGAACCCTCGAGCAGTTACTTTTGCGGACACATTGATGACGTTGTCGCAGATTTTCGGTCAACAGTCATCCCTATTTAAAAATCGATTCCAGAACCTTCAACTGTTTAGACGAGAATCCAGCTATTTCGGTACTTATGAGAGCCTTGTTAATCGCGAATTTGGGCGTTTTCGTATCTTGTCGCAGAAGCCGAAGCTGACGGCGAGACCCTGGCTACCACGAACTTCAGGCCCCGTCCCGAATGGAAAGAGAAGATGAACGCCAGTTGGGAGGATTGTATATTCTGTAAAGAACAACCGGGGAAGGGATTGACAAAAGTTGGCAGCCAGAGGAAACTACCTCCTGCACCGGGAGAAGGATATCCAAAAAGTATGTCAGGGAACCCGTCAAAGCATCTTAAGCCAGGACACGTCTGACCCGGCCTTGAACTTGATTGGTCAGTTAAAAAGTCGAGTGGGCGAACGCCCGATAACCCTGGTCCGATCGTCGTTTCCGAAGATGTCCATTGTGTACTCCACATGGAGATGCAGCAGGCACGGTGACTTTCGAAGCATCTACCTCACTCTCGCCATCCCAATCTGAACCCGATGCTAACACATAGTCAAGAAGACCGGAGGCGGGTGAGGGCGCGGGCGGGTAGTACGGCCGAGCCCGCACCTTGGCACTCCACTCCACACCTCCTGGTCCACACAGCAAATGACCAGGATTTTGACCAACAACGACAAAAGAATGAAGGATGCAACGACCAAAGCTACATTTAGGCGTGCCGTCACACCCGGCTCGGATCCCACGGAGTGGGAGTGTCATAAAGGCCACATTAAGAATGAGCCATTGCAGCCTAACTCAGACCGTCAGTCAACCACTCCACACAAACACACAACACTGGGCCAACTGCGAGGCCCAAGTTATCCTGTCAGTTGGCAATCTTGCCAGCTACGGCTTTCAGCGCACCGTAGTAGCTTCAAGCGCGTCAGATTGTTTATTGTGAGGTAAATGAGCTGAGACGTAGACCTCACTCCCCAATTCCTAGACCCCGGTCTCTGTCCGAGCCGACCAGTTCACAGAGGCAGGGAATGAGCGCTGTGGCTGACATACCTAGTGACTTAATCTGCGCGCCACATGCACGGCTCGACCCCTCAAAAAAGAAGCACCAGGATCCCACTCAACGGCGGTTGAACGGCGTACCTCCCACATGCGTGAGATTGCTGTTGGTCACGTCTAGAAGGGGTTGTTTCGGCCTGGCTCTCAGCCCACCAGTCCGTCACTCCACACAAATACACACCCACAACTGGGCAGCCTGCGTGCACCGAGTTGGAGCATCATTCAGCAGCCTTCCAAGCCACGGTTCTTGACGCACCGTGACAGTCTCAGACTCGGATAACACATGCAGCAGAGGAGCCGCATGTAGATGGAGCCGAGACGCACAATTCCCACTTGCGTGGGAGGTGGCAATCGGATGTCTGTGGTGGGTGATGATGTTGTGTGATGTAAGTGGAGGAAGATGCGATGGTGTGGTGTGACCGGCGGTTATCTACCGCAGGTCTTCATGGACGCGCATGTGGCCTAATAGGCCCATGCGGTGAATGAATGTGCAGGTGCAGTGGGAGTAGTTATAAAGAATGTGGCGAGTGTAGGTTGGTGCTCCAGGCACCAGTTCGTCAGTCACTGTGCAATGGACTCGCAAATGACCGACCAGGCCGATGCGTGAGGTGAATATACGGGGACAGTATGGACCGGAAAAGTCGGCGGTGTCAGTGTCGGTTTCGGGGATGGTGACAGTGGTGGAGCTGTTAATGATGGACACGCTGGGCATCGGGGTGCGCGTTGGATTAGATATGGTGGATTTGCCAGATGTGCTGAGTGTGACGGAGCTGATGATGGTGGGTTTGGTAGGCGACGGGGTGTGGGTTAAGCTAGGCATGGTGGATGTGCAGGAGGTGCTAGGTGTGTCGAGACTGCGGCTAATTCCGCCCTCATGAATGCGCATGTGAAAGAATAGTCCCGTGAAGGGAGCAGATGTGCGAGCAGAATGTGATAATGGAGGCGAATGCGGCGAGTGATGGTTGTGGCTCCAGACGCCGCTTACCCAGTCATTGTGCGGTGAATTCGTAAGTGACCGATCAGGCCGATGTGTGAGGTCCCAATGAGGACATGCATAGATCGAGTTCACATCGTTGGCGTTGGCGGTGGGGAGGTTGATGATTGTTGGTTTTCCGGAATTGTGGGCAGTGTTGGTGGATACAGGAACCGCCGCAGCAGATGCTGACACAACGGAGTAGGAGGATGAGGAGGATAGAAGTGGGGGTTCGGGAGTGCGATCAGTGATGATTGTCGACATGGGAAGCAGGACAGAGGTGGACGGGGAAACAGCAGTTGGCGTAGTCCGTGTGCTGCAGTTGGTCCGAAGATGGCCTATAAGGCCAGTTGGTTTCCGGAACGTCCGATGACATTGTGGGCAGGTTGGGACCGCTGAGAGTCGGCGTTGTGATGCAGGGGCAGTTGAGGTTTGTGAGCTTCACGTTTGGCTTTGGCGGTGGCGATACGGTTGACTTCGTAGATCGCTGAGCCTGTCTTCAATGTTCTTCTCCAGGTCGGTCGGTGCTGGACTAGGTCTTTCCAGTTGGCCAGGTCGATCTGTAGCCGCTTCCGGGAAGCCATCAGAGTGTCCTAGTAGAGCCGAACTTGACCTCCTTGTCGACAGGAACCCGTGGCGAAATCTTTATGGAATAGTCATTTGGGTAGCCTCTCGTCATCCATCCGCACGAAGTGGCAGCAGTTGCAGCTGTCTCAGTATGACGTAGATGCTGAGGATTCCCGTCCGCTTTAGTTGGTCAGTGTTCAGGATCCGGTCCTGTCACCTCCGCTTCAGTATCCGTCAAAGACCGCTGAGGTGGAAGTGATTGAGTCTCCGCGCCTGCCTCTTGTACACCGTCTGAGTCTCCGCTCCATACAACAGCGTCGACAGGATGACTGGTATGTACATCTTCGGCTTCGTATTGAGGTGGAGAAAATGACGGTTCCAGACGGTGTTCTGCGGACTGCCGAAGGCTTGGCTGGCTCTGAAAATGCAGCAGGCAACTTCGTCGTCGATTTTAGGAGGAAGGTGTCGCCCAGGTAGGCGAAGTTGTCCACGACTCGCAGTCGGACGCCGTTCACGTTGAGTTTGGGTGTGATGTAGGCAGCTTCAGGTGGCGGTTGATGTGTGGCCACCGTCTTCTCCGTGCCGAAGTTGTCACAGGCAGCAGTGAGGAGGTCCATACTCCTTTGCATATCCCCTTCGGAGGTGGTACTGATGGTGCAGTCATCGACGAAGAGAAGTTCCTGAACGGATGTTGAGGATACACCCGACTGAAAGTGCGTCCGCTGCTTATTGAAGAGTTAGTCGTCCGTCCTGTGGGTGGTGCGGATCCCAGGGCGCTCGTCACGATAGGTATCCATTATCATGGAAGGTAACATGAAACTGAATAGGGTAGGCACGGAGACGCAGCCCTGCTTCACTCCGTTGCTCACTGCGAATGCCTCCGAGACAACTCCATTGTTCGTGAAGCGCGCCATCATGCCATCGTGGAGCTGACGCACCATCTGAGTGAAAGTTCGGGACAGCTGATTTTCTGCATGACTTTCCACAGTCCTTCGCGATTCACCGTGTCACATGCTTTCCTCAGGTCCACAAAGGTAGAGTACAGGTGGGTCATTATGTCCTGACACCTACTGAAGTTGACGGGCGGCGAAGATCATGTCGGTGGAAGCCGCATTGAATTTCCGGCAGGCCTTTCCGGTGATGTTCATCAGGAAGATGCATTTGTGGTTGTCGCAGTGTTGACGGTTCACTTTCCACCGACGGTTACACTATTAGTGACACTGCTCTCGAGTGTGTTAAATAGAACAATTAATTATTTGTTTATTTATCCGTCTATCGGGGTGTAGGGGTGTCAGCGGTGGGTTCACGTGATGGACGTGGTGGTCGCTCACTTGCTTGCAGGTGAGACTACGCCTAGCGTTCACTTGCTGGCACTCAACCCTCACATGTGGCTCCACGTAGCTGGGCTCTGCTCAGCGGCCACACCCCGGGCAACCGTCTCAACCGGCGGGCTAAACCAGCGCACAGCGCTGTGCCGTGTGCACAGGGTTTGCGGATTCCGCTGGATGGAAGGTCGGATGGAACCTTGCGTCGGCACCGTCTTGACGTGGTTCGTCTCTGCACGCCGCTGAACAGCCGGTGACGGGATGGATCTCCACATCGACATCGCCTTGACGCGTCCACCTACGCCGTCGGACACCGCGGTTTACAGCGAATTCGAGTCGCTCTCCACTACAACCCGAAGTCGTGGCCCCATAGTGGAGTTCGGCCGTGCCAAAACGGCACATGGCAGCCCTATTAAGGGGTGGCACTGCCAGCTCCCACGAGGGGAAGGGCCTAGAAAAGGTGGCCTAAACTTTGCTGGGCGTCACGCCGTCTTCAGGCTAGCCAGGGCCGCAGACGTCTAAGCATGGTCGAAACAATTAAAATCGAAACTTCAACAACAACAATACCAATAACAACAACAACCACACTCATTCTCCTCATCCTACCTCTACTTCCTCTTCCCCTGCCTATTCTACTCCTTCGTCACCTTATTCTCCACCTCCTTCCCGTCGCCCCACCTGTTGTCACCAGACTGGCAGGGTGAGTTCGCTCACTCTGGCAGCCTGGAATGTTCGTTCCCTTTTAGACAATCCGAGGAGCAACCGACCGGAACGGAGGACAGCGTTAGTGGCACGAGAACTGGCGCGCTACAAGGTGGACATCGCCGCACTCAGCGAGACCCGATTCTCCGAACAAGGCCAACTGGAGGAGGTGGGTGCCGGCTACACCTTCTTCTGGAGTTGTCGGCCCAGGGCAGAGCGACGAGACGCGGGTGTCGTCTTCGCCATCCGGAACGACATCGTGGGACGACTGCCCAGTCTGCCGCAGTGCATCAACGATCGCCTGATGAGCCTCCGTCTGCCTCTCCGGCGGGGGGGGGGGCAAATTCAACAGTATCATCAGCGCATGCGCTCCGCCGATGACCAACATCGACGCCGTCAGAGACAAATTCTACGAGGACCTGCACGCCCCCTTGGCGACTGTGTCGAAGGCGGACAAGTTGACTGTCCTCGATGACTTCAACGTCCGCGTCGGCACAGACCATACTGCCTGGAGAGGAGTGCTGGGTCCTCACGGTCTCCGCGGCTCAAATGACAACGGACTGCTGCTGCTCCGTACCTGCGCAGAACACCGCCTCATCCGGACGAACACCTTCTTCTGCCTGCCGGAGCGAGAGAAGGCCACCTGGAGGCATCCCCGGTCGCGCCAGTGGCACCTGCTGGACTATGTCCTCGTCCGGAGGCGAGATCAGCGGGACGTGCTGGTGACGAAGGCGATCGCGGGTGCTGACGGGTGGACCGACCATCGCCTCGTCATCTCGAAGATGCGTATTCGCTTACAGCCTCGCAAGAGACCGCAAGCTAAGCGACCCCCAAGTAAGCTGAATGTTGCCTTGTTGTCCTTGCCCGCTCAACACCTTCATTTCAGCAATGAGCTAGCTCAACGGCTAGACAAACTTCCTATCGCTGCCGTAGACGACGTCGCCGCCGCTGCCGAGAACGCCTCCGTGGAGAACCGCTGGTGTCAACTGCGAGACACGGTCCAGTCGACGGCGCTCGCCGTCCTCGGTCGCGCTCCCCGCCAACACCAGGACTGGTTCGACGACAACGGCGCCGCCATCAGAAATCTGCTTGCTGAGAAGAACCGCCTGCACAAAGCCTACGTCGATCACCCCACTGATGCCACCAAAGCTGCCTTCTACCGCAGTCGCCGCCAACTTCAGCAACGACTGCGCGAGATGCAGGACGCCTGGACTGCTCGCAAAGCTGAGGAGATCCAAGGCTACGCGGACCGCAACGAATGGAAGGACTTCTTCTCCGCAATCAAAGCTTTCTACGGTCCGCCGACGATGGGGCACTGCTCCTCTCCTCAGCGCCGACGGTAGCACTCTCCTGACTGAGAAGACACAAATCCTACAGCGATGGGCCGAGCATTTCCGAGGCGTCCTCAACCGCCTCTCCTCCTCTCCGCCGCCAACTAACTCTGACAATTCTTCTGAACCACCACTTCCATCGTCGTCGTCGTCGTCGTCGTCGTCGTCGTCGTCGTCGTCGTCGTCGTCCTCCTCCTCCTCCTCCTCCTCCTCCTCCTCCTCCTCTTCCTCCGCCTCCTCGCCCACTGCTCCAACGACGGCCGCTCAGGCGACTGTCCCGCGCGCAACAACCGACACTACCATCACCTCCCCCGACTCCAGCGATGAGGATCAGGACTACACCTGTCCTCACTGCGATCGCACCTTCACCTCACACATCGGCCTGGTCTGTCACTTCCGAATCCATCGCACAGAGACTGGCGAACCAGTGCCTGGAGCACCGACCTATACCCACCAAGCTCGCCTCAACTGCCCACACTGCCCTCGCACCTTCAGGCATCGTATGGGCCTATCCGGCCACATGCGCATCCACGAGAGCGGCCTTGACTGCACTCCCGACACACCCACCACATCCAACACATCAACCGTGCACACCCCCACACTCACTCTATCCCTTTGCGCCGCCACCACCACCACCGCCTCCTCTGTAGCTGACAATGTCACCGCCGACTTCTCATGCCCACACTGTCCACGCACATTCACCTCTCGCATCGGCCCGGTCGGTCACTTCCGAATCCATCGCACAGAGACTGGCGAACCAGTGCCTGGAGCACCGACCTATACCCACCAAGCTCGCCTCAACTGCCCACACTGCCCTCGCACTTTCAGGCATCGCATGGGTCTATTCGGCCACATGCGCATCCACGACGACCTGCGGTAGACAACTGCCGGTCACACCACACATTCACTCACTCCCTACCTCCTCCACCACCACCACCACCATCACCCCACCACACATCAACACTCCCACACCTCATGCACCCAACTGCCACCTCCCACGCAAGTGGGAAGTGTGCATCTCGACTCGGTCCCCATGCGGCTTCGGCTGCACGGGTGACTTGAGTCCGAGACTATCCCGACACGTCAAGCGTCGTGGATAGGAAGGTTGCTGATTGACGCCCCCACACGGCCCACGCAGTTCGTCGCGTTGTGTGTGTGTTGTGTGGAGTGGCGAACTGGTGGGCTGGGGACGGGCTGAAACAGCACCTTCCACGGGACTCTCACGCAAGTGAGAGACATGCCGTTCAACCCCCGTTGTGTGAAATCCTGGTGTTTGTGTGTGTATGGGGGGCCAGGTCGTGCTGTGGCGCGCGCAGGCATGGTCAGTCGACCGTGCCAGCCACCGCGCCCACTCCCCATTCCAGTCTGCTGACCGGCTCGGACAGCGGCTGGGGTGTGGGAGTGGGAAGGGAGAGTGAGGTCGACGACTCAGCGCACTTTCTCCTTACTATAAACAATCTGACGCGCTTGAAGCTATCACGGTGCGCTAAAAGCCGTGGCTTGGAAGGTTGCCAACTGACGGGGTAACTTGGACCTCCTCCTTGACTGGAGGTGGTCTGAGAGTCAGGCTGCAATGGCTCCTTTTTAATGTGGCCTTTATGGCACTCCCATCACAATGTGGGATCCGAACCAGGCGTTGGCGGCACGCCCAGGTGCGGCTTCGTTCGTGCCAGCCTCCAAATCTCTGTTGTGTTGGTTGAAATCCTGGTTATTTGTTGTGTGGACCAGGGGGTGTGGTGGAAGGCCAAGGTGAGGATCCGTCCGAGCCATCCACCTGCGGCCTTCCTCGTCTCCGGTCTTCTTGACTCTGTCTTGACACCGAACTCGGGCGAGGGAGGAGGAGAGAGTGTATGTAGATGCTACGCAACTCTACTGGCACTATAAACCCCTGCGTAAGTCACCGTCCCTGCTCCCATTGCTACTGCAACTGTGGGGCACACGGTGGACGTAATCAAAACCGATAGTCGAACTGTCATTTATGCGTCTATCAAGTGCTGAATCGAATTTTTAATAAGGATCTGATAAGTGGTTGTGCCAGATCTAATTGGACTAGTTTAGTCTGTCTCCCCCATCTTCACTTTCGTCTCACGGTAATAACATCTCCGTACATTTATCTCTTCGGATACTCGAATTTGTATTCGGGATCCTGTTACTGTTAACAGCTGGATAATTATGCATTGTTTTAAACAGGCTCGTCTCTTTTATAATTATACCTAAAATATTAATTATCACGCTGCGTATTGGGACATGCATTCCAAACATACTGGGCGTGAAATGAGATAGTCGAGCGACATATGGAACAACGTTTTTGAAGGTGATATGAAAAGACGAACAAAAATAGTAAGACTGAAGAGGAAAAAAACTATCGACATATTCAGACTTATCGGAGGTTCGATATCGTGTTACTGCCCGTTCGACTACTTTAAGATCCGGTTTTCAAAGCAGCAAAAAACTTTCTGTATTTGTATGTCGTTCAAAACAATAGGGCAAATTGGTCTGGCCGAATCCCTGGTAGTTGCAGGGATTAAAACGATTTGACTGTTGCCCATCACAAAATCGGTTGTCAATTTTAACGTGTTAATTGCGGAGCTCGTCAGTTACCAGACAGACAACTATCTCTTTAAATATCTTTTTCTGATAGCACGAAATACATCAACCCCACCTAGTGTCTGACGCGTTGAAATCCCCAAGTAATATTACGTGTTTGCTACGACAACTTCCCTTCACCTCGAAGATGAACCCATCGTCCTCAGTTTTCGTCTGTTGCACGGATTTTATCACATGTTGAAATCCCAACTGTTGGCCCCGCTGGACGGATGGATGGAGACAAACAGCTGGGTCGGCAACTGACATTTCAGTAGGTAACCCAGTCTATCGTACTCTCTCGAAAACAAATAACACTCGCATGCTTTATCACTTCCGCCAACATAGCCTCATCTTCCTCCGTTTGATAAGAGTTCAACGACGCTGAAATGGGCTTCAATATAACTGTCTGATTATCTGATCTATAGTGGTAGGATGAGGTCGTTCCCTCGCTAACTTTCCAGAACGGCCTTCATAGGTCTCGGCCAAATGTCTTCTGTGTTATCTGTAATTAATTACCACAACCTAAAGTAATTTTGACCTCGACAGCTTCGCTGGATTCTAGTGGGTGAATAATTCGATCATCGAATATATGTGGAGATCCTGTTTAACGTTTTCATTTGGGGTTTCATCATAGGCATCGGACATTTCTCGGATAGCAACGCCCTTTTTTCAGGTGGAAAACTGGTAGTCTTTCCCAACTTCCTTTGAGCATTAATGTGTTGAAATGGTGATTTTGGGACTACTTTCATGACTAGACTTTCTTCCTCTTAAACAGCGGGTCTGATAGTCACTCCGGACCTTTCAGGTAAACTCGCTTCCGCAAAAATTCTGCTTATTCCCAAGTAATAAATGGGCGTGTTATTGGACTCACGACGTGTATATCTGTCAATAAGTTACGCATATTGTGGCAAGTGTCTGTTTACTTTCCCTCCACAATCGCACACTACGTGTGGCGGTAAAACATTCACCGGATTCCTCAAATTCAGAATTCTGGGCTAATTTAAACTTTGGTGCGCTTCTTGCACTCTTCTGCCGTACTGGTTGGGCCTAATGGTCACTATCTGGGGGCATTCTAGCGTGCTTCGATCGCTGGCTCTTTCTGTGCGAGGAATCTGTGGACTCTAAATTTGCTGATCTTACACAAAGACATGATTTATTAGCCTGAAATTTCAGATCCTCACTCGAACCCATCATCATAAACAGTCGTAGGTTGTCAGCTTTCTCATCTTTGATATCTACTCATATTGAGTCAGGGAATTGTTTTAATAGTTTCACCTCTCTCTTTCTCCCTCTTCGTTTTACTTCCTGTTTTACCTTCCGATGCTTTTCGCTCCTCTATGATATCTTTGGTCCTGCTCATCAACTTTCTGTAAGTTCTTTATATTGTGCTCGCGTTCCCCAAGCTTAGTATACTCGATGAGTACCGTTACTATGTTTCTGAGGCTATAAAAATTCCCTTTCAAAACCTTTAAACTTTGTTAATCGCTGTCGGGCACCCATCACATCCTGCCAGCAATCCTGATAAGGGTTAAGCATATGCGCGGGGTAAGCAAAGGCTACGGAGAACCGCCTACAATATTTTTAAACGTAGGTGCTGTTCGGCAGAATTTTGGTCTGACCTTCGTCGGCAGGATGAGAATGACTGACCAATATCGTCCCAGGCGGTTGGTGCTATTGAAATGTCTACATTGGTTCATTCTTCAGCACCATCCACACGTAATTCTCTAGTAAGAGTTAAGTTCATCTTCAAAAAAGCTCGGCGCTAACGGCAGTCAGTTAGCACAATTTACTTGAAGTATTGTTATGTGAAATTCATACGCCTCCCAGTAAAACAGGAAGGTTAAACAACTTGTTAAACAACAGTCGACATTTTTTCACGCCGCGCATATACTTAATCCTTGCCGCAATCCCTTTTTGCGCCCTCATGTTCAATTTCAACGGCGTTGGAAAAACACAACGTTCCTTATAGTTGACAAGTTCTGCATTTCCACACCTAGTGGAAATCAAATAAAGTACTTTTGTTTGGGAGTCTGTCGCGAGAAATAGAAGATGGTTTACACAATCCAAATGGATCGATAGCCTCCTGGTATAAAATGTTTTTGCCAACAGACGGCTTGCTGGTGACCAAATGATCGGGATGTTAATCCCCGATATGGGTTTGAATCTCACCTGCGTCACCAAGTTTTGTCATGACTAGTGGAGTGGCCGGTATAAAAGGACGTGTTGGTCACTTTGGGCGAAACTGAGATAATTTTTTAATACTGCTAGAAACATAACGAATATAAAAGTCTTTGATGTGAGTAAAGTCTGAGTAAGTCTGAGTCTGCGACTAAATTGCAAAGGTAATTCTAAGCGTAACTACGCGTCACTGTCGTATGTCGTTCATAAGTTTCTTGACCACAGGTATGGACAGTCAGTTAAGGGTGCTGAAACGATAAAGAAAAAAACCAATGAAATGAATTTTGTGTGTGGATGATAGCGATGTCAAAATAACGCCGATAACCAAATCTTGTGTCAGCATTCTTTGTAATCGGCGGGCGGCTGCTTTGTATAACAGGAATAAGCGAATATGTCCGACGGAATGCTGAAGGGCAGTGGTGGCACCGATCCGGGTTCTGTTGTGTTACCGTAATGTCGCCGTCGGATCTGGTTGTGGCATCGAACCCAGATGTCTTCACCAACTGGGACTTCGAACAAAATATTCCCTCTATAAGCTTCCACGGTCGTTCCAATCCAGTAAATAAAACCCGATCGATGATCACGAACAAAGACAGGTGTTTCGACAGTGGGCTATCTGTGAGAGACAGGTGAGGTTGTCTGTGTGGACTGCACACTGCTAGGAACGAGTAAATGAGATATTGGAGCATTTTGCGACCAGCCAACAGTTCGGCAAAGAAACGCCACCAGGACACGGTGGATTTGGAGAAATCCTGTAAGAAAACAGAAATTATCGGAGTACCTAATCCGCGGTCCCCTTCCCACGAGCTTTCAACTGGACTCTATTGAATGTTTCGACAAAACGTACCGCCTGACCGTTAGACTGAGGGTGGAAACGTGGGAATGAGTGGGCTGAATGTTTTGCTAGCGGTAGAAATCGTCGAACGTTGAAGAAATAGATTAGTAGCCGTTTTCAAAACAGAGACTCTCAGTAGACCGTGCTGGCTGGAGATGCGTCGCTGGGTTTAGCAAAGCTGTTTTGGGCCAGTTTGAATGGACATCTACCAAAATTGTGTGTGAGACTGTATCTAGTGGACCAACGAAATCGATATGCACACGCAGCCAAGGCCTCTGAGG